GCATTAGCTGAGACCTGAAGGAGCTGGGTTTTGCTGTGAAATAAGGGCAGAGGGAACATCATGCAGAAAAGCCCAGAGTCCTGAGTAAGCACAGCAGGTTTTAAGTCACAGCAAACAGTTGGATATGAAAAGAATCTGGGTGCATGGGGCAAGGAGACAGAGAATGAGGACGGTAGGCAGGCTCTATAAGCTGCATGGCATTGGCTTAATGCTATGGAACTCAGACTTTATCATCTTCTTAACTGCACTGCCCAGGCCCTGGAGTCTCTGTAAGGTCACTTCAGGAGGGGGTGTCTCCAGAGGCAGGGGGAAGGCAGAGTGACTAGGACTCCCTGTACTCAGACCTCTCCCGCACCACCCTCAAAGCAAAGTAACTCTGCTTTAATCGGCTTTAAATATCAAGGATTTATGTTTACGTGGGAAATAAAGGTTTAAAAAACATTCCACAAGGTGATTGTGAAAGTCTGCACTTGGGAACCCATGAATAATTATCATCAGGCTTCTGTGTTAGAAAGAACATTTTCCAGATGGGAGGGCAGGGCCTGGCTGGGAGTCATGCTAATTGATAGTCTAGGACACAAACAATGATGTATCAAACTGACACAGGCAGAATGTTTGAGAAGAAGTTACAACGAGTAATAGCATTTTGTGATTAACTAAACCTAAGTAGTGAGGCAGTGAAGGGTAGGAAGGGTCCAAGATTTTAGGGTAGGGAAATTGATAAATACTCAGGTTCCTTTCAACCAGAAAGAAGACAGGAATAGAAGCAGATTTGGGTAGAATATAATTATTTGACTTTCCAATCCACTTAGTTTGACTCCTTATGGAACACTCACTCAGATGAAGGGCTCCATCTGGAATATAGTAATATGTATTCTCTGTGAGCTGAAGAAACCGTTTTGGGTTGTGTGGGAAACAATTGAGCATTTTATTTTAGACAGCACCTGTTTTTTTGTATGATGTGAAAAAAAATGGCATCTGTTGAGAGTGAGGGGAAAGATATGAATAAACTAAAGGAGGTTTAAAAAGTTTAACCTGATTGATCTAGGAGACAGTATCAAGAATAAATACTTTTCAGAATAGATTTTTTTAAAAGCTGAAGAGGTGTTAAGGCCATGTTAATACTGGGTGTTAGGAATGTGTAGTGACAACAACCTGCATGCAGATTTATGAGATTTCTCCCTGGTTATGCTCAGTGTGCAAATAGCAGGGACTGAAATATGGGATCATAATAGTGATCCATGGTTGAGGGTTTGTGAGCCACTTGCGGAAAAAAAAAAGGATTCCAAATAATTAAACATTTCTGTAAAGATAATAGTTCAAGTGATAGATTCTAGGGATGAAGGTAAGATCAGAAATTGGTTGTTGGACTAGCAGAGAGGTTTAGGATTAGGGATTTGGGATTTACAATGAAGCAGAAAAGGTTATAAGAAAGCTGGAAAGATGGTATATTGGGGATATATTTAAAAACTAAAAGACCAACATGGGAACAGCAGAATTAATCATCTTATATTTAAATAGGGGATAAGAGGCACTTCACGGAAACAAAATGTTCCAAAACAATACATAATCCACTACATGAAATGCCAGATGGATCATTAGGTTCAATGAAACACAACTACATACACACTCATAACTTTTATACCTATTTATAATTATTTTTAAATGTTTTATTCTATAAAAACTAAATGTTTTACTTTTACCAAATATGTGATCATTGTTCATTAACAAGAATAACATTTTTTTCCTTTTAAAAAGTTTGTCTTCTTATTGAGAAACCTTTATTGTTCAATTGATATACAGAATCAAGAATGGCTACCATATTCCTGATGGTAATGTGGTAATGAAACATGTGAACTCTCAGAGCAGATAAACAAAGCAGATTATATAGCACCTCTTTATTCAAAATTCATTTGTAATTTTTTTCAACCACAAATACATCTTGCGTAGATAACTTAGATTATTGCAAAGCAAGTTTCTAGGAATAAAAATCTATGTATCTTTCAGTTTCTGAGTCAAGGCTACCCCAGGCCTTGAAAATTTTATTACTGTCCAGGGTTCCTTATTTCCCAGAATAAAAACCACTATCAAAGGTAATTCTGAAAATACACAGGATGAGAAACAGTCCTACAAAGGACACTATGCACCTATGTCTTAAAATGTGGAGGCCACGCTTTGAAAAGCCATCACAGTTTAATTTATTATTGCTGCATGAGGGTTACGCAGCCTATCTTACAATTCCTTTCAAGTAGGTCTATGCAGGATGTGTGATTGTCCCAAAAGAAGTACTATTTGTTATTCCTTATTTTTTTTTCCCATTTTGAAACATGGTTTGATCTCTACTCCTTGTAAATTTGGTATCTTCTACATAGTACTTACTATGTGCTATCTGAAGAAAAGAGGGTTTGAGGTTTGAATTTCTTTTTTTTTTTCTTTGCGGTACGCGGGCCTCTCACTGTTGTGGCCTCTCCCGTTGCAGAGCACAGGCTCCGGATGCGCAGGCTCAGCGGCCATGGCTCATGGGCCCAGCCGCTCCGCGGCATGTGGGATCCTCCCAGACCGGGGCATGAACCCGTATCCCCTGCATTGGCAGGCGGACTCTCAACCACTGCGCCACCAGGGAAGCCCTGAATTTCTTATAAAACTACCAAAGTAATTAGATTGTCTCTTTCCTCCAAGTGTGACACAATTAGTCTGAGTCTGTTGACTCAGAGAGACAACATATCAAAAAATGTTCCCCCTTCTTCCTCAAGACAGTATTTGTCTTCTTAAAGAAGACAGTGTTTCCCAAGGACAGTATTGCTTCATGTAAATTTAAATAAGGGACAACTTTGTTATTTCTAAGGAATATGCAATCCATTTATAGCATGAAATGGAGAACACAGAAGTTTTCATTTCTAGATCCAAGTAAAAACCTGTCTCATATAAAAATTTTCGGCCCAGAACACTTGTAAGCTCTGAAACCACACTTTAGAACAAACTAAACGGAACTCATTCACAGAAAACAGCAAGTGTGGGGAGTCCTCTCAGTTCATGGTATAAGGGGAATCATTTCAGGAACGAAAAATATTTGATGGGTAGTTAAAGGTTATAAGCATATGAATTGCTCTATATTTTGAAGGGATCATCTGTTTTAAAAAGCTTGGACCAACATGTGATTGCTCGAGGAAGAATATTTTACTCCATTAACAGAAAGGGAAGCAGCACAACGTAAGGCTTAATAGTGTGGACTCCTCATCAGATTGCCCAAGTTTTGTTTCTGGCTCAGTCACCTATTTCTTAATTATATGTTTTAAGCTTTTTATTTATTAGAGTGCTAATTAGTAAAATTCTCCTCACCTCTTTACCCACACTTCGATATTCTACGTTGTGACGCTAGGACGGGAAGTCTCGACCAGAGGCTCCCACGGGATACTTAATCCCCTCTCAGGGGATCTGTAAGGTCAAAATGCTATCAGTGATGATTCTGAGATATCATTTGCTTTTTTCACTCTCATTCTCTCATGGGTGTACAGTGGACTTTTCAAGGGGCTACCTGACATGATATGGCAACGCAGCAGCGGATGTGGTTATTCAGCTGTCTTCTATGGAGTTGGATGTTAGTCATTTGCAACAGTGTGAAATAATGTCAATCTTCTCACTCATTTTTTTTTTGTTTTTGAAAATAGTCATTTTTCCTAAAGATGTTATTTTTGTCAACATCTGAGGGGACGATCACTGTAATTTCTAGAATGTGTCATCTTTAATATGGTAAATAGAAATAAATATCACCCATATAAACAAGAGCATTTTGGGGTCCTCAATAATTTTCAAGAGCCTAAAAGAGTCCTGAGATCAAAGAGTTTTGGAAACACTGCTGTAGACTATATTTCTCCATTGCCAGATGGAAACCTGTTGGGTTCACAGGGGGCACTAGAGAGACAACAGAAGGGAGGAGGGAGAAGGGACAAGTTCCTGCTGGTCTACCTGCACTTATCTGTTAGATCTCTCCAGCATCTCACCGTCCCAGCATCTGGTGCCAGTAGCAAGGCGCTCTAGTCTTGTGGCAGCTTACTGCCACACCAAGAAGGCGCAGTGAGCTCCCGCAATTCAGTCCTGCACAGACCATGGTGATGCTGTAAGAGGTCTGACTTCCAGGGCTGCACACTCCTCCCTGAGCTCCTGAGCTATCAGAGCCAATCAGGAAGGATCCCCTCCACAGGAGTCTGACAGTGAGACCTGCCAGGCAACACCCACCCCCCAACTCTGCCTCCCAGGTCCTAGAGGTCCTCCTTCCAAGCTTCTGGGTTTTGAAGACTCCAACCCAGGGGAGGCCTCTGGTTCTACCTCAGTGTGTCTCAGTGCTCATCTTCACTTTTTCAACTCTCCGACACTGTTTAACCAGTTTCCTATTGCACATTTTCTAAAGTAATATAGTGAGATTTCTATTTTCCTGACTGTGTGGAGAGTGATACAATTAGTGACAGGTAGTAATGCATTAGGCATCTCTAAAAAGCTACACCTAATGAGAGAACCAACCATCTCTATGGTGACAAACTGAATTAAGTATCTAAGAGAAAAATCTAAACTCTGTTCTGAGTTTACAAATCTAAAAATGTGAAAGTATACTGGTAATTTGAACAAATGATATTAAATACTATGTTTTTACATAACTGCCTTGTGACTACATATATTTTTATATATATATATATATATACACACACACACACACATATATATATTCCAGTCATTTAAAAGAGCACTTTCCTATATCTGATGGAAGTATCTCTTAAAATTATTACCTAAACATAGACTTCTAAGACATTGAAATGACAAGTGATGAATAATGATAAAATATATTTTCTCTAATGTTTAGTTGCACAGTCTTAGTATGAAAGGATAAACCCTGCAATAAAGGTAATTTTTAAACAAATCATCTCAGCTTACAGAGAACTTATAATGATTTTTCCCTTTGAGGTTTTTGCATTACACACATTTTTAAAGTAAATAATTAAACTTACCACCTGAGAGGAGAGCAGGCTTACTTTTTACCATTGGACTAGAATGAGGAAACTTGTTGCTAAATGACATGAAAAGGTGTGTTGTGAAATCATCAGGAAGCTCGGCTTCCAGGAATGTCTTCATAAATAGCTTGAAACCTTCAAAATCTATTGTCTGGAAAAAAAATTTAAACATATATTTTAAGACTCAGCCAATGTTAAGATTCTGTGCTATGCTCAAAATCATTAGTAGGAGACACGACCTCAAACATTCTTAAATCCAAGTCTACAAAAGGAAGGTAACTATTTGAGAAGTAAATCGGGCAGTCAGTCCTAGGTTGACACTGGTGAGTAGATTTGTATGTCTTACCTGCAATAATGGAGCAGGAAAACCAGGAGCTTTTCACTCAGACATCTCTATTTCCACAGTATCTATGTGGCCTTAACATTTTTACTCTTTGAAACTTAATTTCCTCCTCTGTAAATTGAGTATAATATTCCCAATCCCGTAAAGTTGTTATGATGATTAAATCAGACAATTATGTGAAGATGCCAATGCAGAGTCATGAACACAGCATGAATACTCAGAAAGAAAGGTATTTCTCTCATCTCCCTTCTTTGTCTGAACATTGTTTTCGACAATTGGAGAAAGTGGTTGACATGAAAGTTTCACCCTAACACCAAGACGAGTGGATATAAAATTCTAAAGTGAAATTCTAAATCTTCCTATGCAGATTTTCAAAGAAATCTACTTCACGATCCATGCTCACTCTTACTCATTGCAGGACTATAAAAGCGTCGACATTTACATGCAAAGAACCATTGCTACTTTGGGAATCTCCATGTCCACTTGGGGAAATGGTGATGGGAGCCACTTCTATCCTCAAGTTAATGAGAGGATTTCACAGGAGCTACTAGGAGAGCTTGCTTTCTCCAAGTAAATGAGGACAGTGGGCCAGGATCTGACTCCTGCCTGGGAAACTGAGGACAAGGCTACAGGTACTCGGGACAAAGACAAGAAAATGGTATTGTACTGGGCTTGGCCAACCCTCCTTGTGACTGCAGGGACAATAATGCATAAATGTTGCCTAGGAAATAGCTGTAGACCGCATGGAAGAGAAGGCCCCTGGAGCTGTGCTGGATACTATCCAGTAGGCCATTTGAAGGGACTAGGAAACCTACAGAGAAGAAACTGAGATAAAGCCACATCCGTCCAGATCAAGAGACTGCAAGGGCTATAGGCCTCATAGGAAGCCCTTGAGGGGCACTTTTTTTATTACCCAGTTTAACGTAACTGACATGAAACTAAAAATAAGGAAAAAATAAAACTTGGCAGATTAATGCTCCTAAATTTTTACAGAATCCTGGCAGAGGAGAATAAAATTAATTCCATAAACTGATATTTTGGATACAAAAAGTCTATTTTTCCTATGTAAAAATATTGGGATAAGGTGGTAGAGAACAACCAATTTTATTATTGTACTGTTTTGAATAAACCTAAAAGGGAATCAGACATACAGGGGTATCATTAGGAGAAAGGAAATTTTTGCAGATTAGATCGCATGCCCTTTAAGTATATGTACTGTGTATGCTTTTGTACCTAACATAACCTCAAGCTAATACAAAACAAAACCAAAAACGTCACTTTATTTATTAATGGTTCCAAGACTCTGTCTACAACTTAATCTGACATTTTTGGTTAAACTTAACTTAGTCTTGTTTTGCTTATTAATTCTCAGAAGGGCACTTCAGATGTTTATATTGGTGGCGGTAAAAAGACTTCATTTCCTTCCATATTTAATGAATCACTTCCACCACAGAATATTGTAAATTCTACTAGTGGATTGAACCACAAAACTAAAAACTGTGAATAATATGAATATATAAAGAATAGCATCAATTAGCAGAAGTACTTTCAAAAAGCAAATTGCCACAATGAATGAAGCCAAGGTTTCAAAATACACAAATGAGGCCAGAAGCCAGACTAGTATATCCAAATAAGTTGCCTTGAGCTGGGCACCTATTCTTACTAATAGGATTCCTCAGGATGGCGTATCAAAAGAGAAGTAATCCACACTCAGCTGGATGAGTGACCAACACTTGTCAATAATCTTCAACATGTGAGAAAGTCTATGGGGAACGCAGGAGTTAATGCTATATGCAAAGTTATAGGAAATTTATATGGTAAACATTCACAAGCATTGTGATTAAAATCAAAGTTACTTATAGTTGCTTTTCTTCCTGTACCCTTTTGTAGTCAGCACTGTGTTTGGAAACATAACAGATGACAGAGCATGGCTTTGAAGTCAGACTACCTAGATCAACTCTCAGATCCAACACTTTCCAACTGTGTGACAGTGGGCAATTTATTAAGTTCTCTGTGCCTCAAATTCTTCATCTATAATACCAACCTCTTGATTTGTTAGGAAGAATTCCAAATGGTATTTGACGAATGGGCCTTAAAACCATATTAACTTAAATGTTTCCATTTGCATTTAACAAATCATTACATGGTTCATTGTTTTTTTGGTGGGTGTTTTTTAAAATTGTCGTTGTTTACTTGTTTTTCACTTTTTTTTGTTTCGTTTTTTGAGAAACCAGGTAATAAAATGTGAACAAAGACTATAATTGCTGAAATTTTTTTCTCTGAATCTTCCTTTACAATAAGATTATATTTTAAAACAATTATTTCAAGCCAAGGGTTTGATGTGGGAGCAGGAAAACAACAACAACTAACCAAACAACCAACAAAAACAAAAACAAGGACTCCAGAATAAAACGATTTTGTTTCATATTCCAATACCTCCACTCACCACCTGAGTGATTTGGGGCAAGAAACATATTTTCTCTTTTTAAGGAAAAATCTGCCACATCCCAAGTGTGATAACCCACATAGGACCTCCTTGAAATTGGTGCTTGTGATTTCATGATGAAAACCAGAAAAATAGACAACCAAAAGGAAGAAGTGAACTTAATGCATGACATCCCTCTTAATAAGGAATACATTTCTCCTTGGTCCTTCTTTTTTCAGATCTCAGGAAAACTTTCAGAATTTTCTCCAGTGTTGTAGCTCTCCCTTGCTCAGCAATCAAAAAATAGCTTAGTTTTATTATCTGACATCACTACACCTTAATTTCCTCCATATAAGATCAACTGTTCAGCATTGCTGCCTAAACGTAATAATAAATTGACGTAAAGCACTTAACGCACCCTTGGACACATAGGATGTAAAAGAAATAAAATAGTAAAAGAAAAAAAGGAATAAGTAAAAAGAAGCACTTGTTTGAGGTTAGATGGGTTTTTTCATTATCTTAATTTGCCCACCTCTTTATTGGTCCAAGAAACTAGAATTTCATTGCATTTTTCCAAATCTAACCCTCTGTTTTTGGGGTCTTAGATATTTTGCTGTAATTTTTCTGCGTCAGGCAACATTGGCAAATTACTGCCTTCAGAAAGCAAGCCTTTAAAAACAGATTATCTTACTTTAAAAAAAAATAAAAACTTATCATAGACATAAGAATAGAATAAAGATTTCCCTAGTTCTTAAATGATTTCCATGAGATGATGTCATCCTATTCATGACTGAAGTTTTACTGATGATATCAACTTTTTCCTCCAACTTCTTTACATTATTGGTGGCAGCAAACTTCCTTTCTCTTACATTTCCTGTCATTACACACAGCTTAAAATGCTGCAAACCCCAAACGTCTTCAGAGCCAAAAGGCAGCTGCTTCAGTGTTTCATATTCGCTGAGGAATTAATCTTCAATGCCTTTCCTGGTTAACCCATTTTTTTCTTATTAGCAAAAGATTTTCCAATCTTTTCTAAAATTCTATGCTGTCCAAAGTACAAACATTTCTGTAAGTGGATAATGTCCTCAATCTATACATTTTCCTTATCTCATGATTTAGCAGAATATCTTGAAATTTAAGTATCTTATTTTCTACTGCTATCATCTAGCAGCATTAGCATTGGTTTTTGAAGACTGTGACCTTTAAATAGAATGAGATCATTTATATGCACAGCAATCGAAACACTAATGAAAAAAGTAGGGTCAGGCAATTGAATGAGTGTTCAAAAATCGAACTGGCTGTAAGCTCAAAGACAGATACATCAAATGATGTTTAAAATTTTGAAAACTGCTTTTTCATTTTTTTTTCCTGAAGGAACAGGCACAGACTATTTAGGGAGATAACACAGAGAATCTGTAAAGAATACAAACTTGGGAAGCTGCTCAGATGTTGTTGCCAAGTTGGCACAAAACCAAAAACACATTTCTATATGCCTTTCATTACTATATCTGACCATCTGGTTTCTTGGTGTTTAAATCCCTGCTAATACTAAAGAAATAACTCTAGTATTCATCCAAGTAGATTCAAACTGAATGAAAATAAATGTCGTCATTCTATCATTACTTTATTTTGGCAGTCTTGGGATGAAGATTTTCTCATATTCAGCAAATGTTCATCATGCATACATCCACTTTGTACTGGGCTCTGTTCTCAGTGGTGTGGTAAAAATGTTACTGATATATGCAAAACTCCTTCCACCAGGAGGCTTATCTTCTAATGAAGGGAATAAGAAAAAATCCAAAATAAACAGGATAAAAGTACAGTGTCTGAAGGTATTAAATGTTGCCTAAAAAAATAAAGAAGGAAAGGTTTATATATGGGGGAGGGGTGCTTACAGTTTTAAATCTGAGGACTAGGAAATGAGAATTGGTTCTTTGAATAAAGATTTAAATGAGATGAGGGAGAGAGCTTCGTAAATATTTGGAGAAAGAACATTCCAGATCAAACAGGTGGTGCGAATATCCTGAGGTATTAAGATGGTCCTGTTGTAGAGGATTTGCTGTAGGAGCTAGTGAGGAAAAGCAGGGGTCCCGAGCAGGACTGAGGGAGGACTAGAGAGATAGGATCTTTGGTGGTGTGTGGATGGGGGCTGATCCTGTAACATGTACTGGACAGTCAATAAAGCATTATGGTTTTAAGGTAGAGAGGAACAGTTACTGGAGGGATTGCAGCAGGAGATCACATGGTCTAACACATTTTAACAGGATCATATGACCATGATAGGATCATAAGACTCTTTTATATAATAGGATCATTTTATATAATAGGATCTTACAACTTTTATATCACACAAAAGATTGTCCAATTTTCACACTTTCTAACA